CCCGCACCCCTTACCTGTGATCCTGCCCACGTAGCCCCCCAGCCTCCTGCCTGCCTCGCCAGCCGCGTGTGCGCCCAGGCTGTGGCCGATGAGGTGCACGTTCTCCAAGCTGTAGCCCATCTTGGTCTGTGGAAGGATGGAGTGTCAGGGACCCCAGGTCCGGGTGGGGTCGCCCTGGCTCTCGGAAGGGGATGGGGACAGGTCTCAGGAGGAATGACTTGTCTCCGGGACCACCTAGGACAGCGTGACCTGACCCTGGGCCAGCACAGTCTCCAGAGTCACCAGTCTTGGTGCATAGGCTTTGGGTGTGTGCAGGGGGAGGGAGGGGGCGTTGACAGTGCGGACCAGCGTCCTCTGTGTCAAGTGCAGGCGGCCTGGGGAGCCTGGCCAGGTGCTGCCTGCTCCATTCACACCCACCCCGGCCTCCCTCCCCTCCCGCAGGACCTGGGCCTGCCTGGAGAGCCTGGGTAGCTGGCCCAGCTCTGGGTGCTCGGGAATAGACCTTCCAGAAGGCAGTAAGGAGCTTTCCCCTCTCTGAGAAAGAAGACTCATCTTCTGGGCTGACAAGGTCTCCCAGATGGTTATTGACACAGCCAGGCAGAAAAAGGATCGCTTACTACATCAGGGCTTAGCCAACTGTTATGGGAGGGCCAGATCCACCTGCTCATATAAATCAAGTTTTTTGGGAACAGCCACACCCCTTTGTTTACATATTCTCTCCCCTCTGCTTTGGAGCGACAACAGGGTTGAGTGGAAACCATATGACCTGCAAGTGCTAAACCATTTACTACCCAGTCCTTTATGGGAAGTTTGCTGCCACTTGTACTAAGTTTCCTGACACTCTATTAGGTGCTGAAACCATGGGAGAGCTGCTGTTATGTTCCCAACAATGCGTAGGTGGGAGCTAGAAGGTATTAACAGACAAGATGACATTTATATGGAGGTAGCTACAACTCTCCCCACATGTGCATCTTTTATATTATGTGTGGCCGCCGCCGTGTGCTGCCCAAGCTCAGACTGGTCCGACGATGGCACCAAATAACTGTCAGAAAGAGCCACTGCAGAGCCTGTGTTCATTGGAGGATGGCCTGGACTACCCGGGGGATTGAGGCAGGGAGGAGTTGCCTGGAGGCCAGGGCCTGGGGATGGACACGTCCCCCTGACTCTCCCAGCTCCACGTTCACTTGGCGTCCTTCTGGGACTTGGGGACACGTGTGAACGCCCAAACCTCCAGAGGAGCAGCCCACCCTTGGGAAGAAGCTGCTCGAGGTCTCCCCCAGTGCAGACTAAGCGGAAAGCCATGCCCGTGGGCTCCTCCTAAAACTAAATCTGTAGACACAAGGTTCTGGTATTTTACAGATAGAAGACCTGGTGGTCATTCCCACCTCTTTATTGAACTCTGGGCAAGTTTTGGACTTTTTGTGCCTTAATTTCCTCATCTATAAAATGGGAACAATAACTCTACCTTTCTCACAATGTTGCTTGTGGTGGGGGGCGGTCAAATGAGACAAAGACTGTGAAATAATGATCACAGTGTCAGGCTTAGAGGAAGTGCTCAGAAAATGGATGTTATGAATAATAATCTTATCTAATAAAAGAGTAATATGCAAATTAACCATCACTCAGTCACAAAGATGGCGACGGCCACAGAGCTGGAGCGAGCAGGAGGCTTGGGTTGCCCCTGGCGATGGAGGAAGCCTAGCTTCCTGCCTGCGCTTGCCCACACTGGGCTCTGCTCAAGGCTACATAGTTTCAATTATAGAAGATAAATAAATCCCAGATACCTGCTTCCAGCCGGCAGTGGCCTCCTCTCAAGGAGGACCTTGGAGCTGGGTTTCCAGGGGGCGTGGCCAGCCTGAAAATGGCCATCATCCCCTCACTGAAGGCGCTGTGGCCAGCCTGAAAACAGCCCTTAGCTCCTCACCCAGCCTGGCCACACCCCCACTGAGTGGCTTGACCAGTGTGCAAACAGCCATCAGTCCCCCACCCAGGCTGGTCAGGCACCCCATCAGGATCCCCTCCCTCTGAAGGGGCTGTGACCAGCCTTCAAACAGCCATCAGCCCCTCACCCAAGCTGGCCAGGAAGCCCAGCGGGGACCTCCCTAATAAAGGGGGTGTGGCCAGCCTGCAAACAGCCATCAGCCCCTCACCCAAGCTCGCCAGGCACCCCAGCAGGACCCCCACCCTGATCTGGGACACCCTTCAGGGCAAACCAGCCGGCCCCTACCCGTGCACCAGGCCTCTATCCTATATAATAAAAGGATAATATGCCAATTGAACCTAACAGCAGAACAACTGGGAATGACTGGTCACTATTACACACATTGACGACCAGGGGGCAGACGCTCAATGCAGGAGCTGCCACCTGGTGGTCACTGCGCTCCCACAAGGGGAGATCTGTTCAGCCACAAGCCAGGCTAACGGCTGCCTGTACAGCGGTGGTGGTGGAAGCCTCTCCTGCCTCCTCAGCAGCACGAAGGATGTCAGACTGCAGCTTAGGCCTGCTGCCCGCTGGCAAGTGGACATCCCCCGAGGGCTCCTGGGCTGCCAGAGGGATGCCTGACTGCCAGCTTCGGCCTGATCCCCCAGGTAGCAGGTCTAAGCAGCAGGTGAACATCCCCTGAGGGGCCCCAGACTTTGAGAGAGCACAGGCCTGGCTCAGGGAACCCCCCCCCCCAACCCGAGTACACAAATTTTTGTGCACCGGGCCTCTAGTTCATTACTAAAATTCATGATAACTTCAAAACTGCACCAACCAATACTGTGGCCACTGGCCCCGGGTGGCTATTTACAATGAATCAAAGTCCATTCAATTTAAAAGTCAAGTCTTTGGTCACACTCCCCGCATTTCAGGTGCTGGGTGAGCGCAGGGGAGCAGTGGCTCCTGGTTGGGACAGTGATGCCAGGAGCCGTTCCCGCCCTCACAGGGAGCTCTGTGGGACAGCAGGGTTTCACGGTTTACTTGGGTTTCTAATGTAACACGGGGGCTTTACTAAACCACCTGAGAAAAATGCCAGGTAATTTGCTGATGCCTCCACTTCTGGGGCGTTTTGATTGGGCTCTGGGTCTCTTTGGTCTCCAGACGAGAGGACGGGCTAGAGGTCAGGGGGTCGGGAGGACTTGACAGTGGACGCTCCGGAGAACCCGGGGTTTCCTCAGAGTTTTTAGGAAGAAGCATCTGTCCCTGGACGGTCTGCGTTCCCAGTCTCGGGGGCAGTGACCTGGAAAGTGTTTGAAGCTGGGTGCCGGGTGCTGGTCTCAGCGGGGAGTGGCCGGGGGCAGGGCCCTACCTGGCACATGTCCGTCAGCCATCTCTCCTCCCCCTTGTCTATGAAGCCGTGGATGATGAAGCG